GATAGCTATCAAAACGCCTGCCATTTGAAATAAACAAATATTATTCGAAATCTCATCCTTATAACATAGTTTAGCACTCAAAGGCTTATATCTTCTTTTATAATGAGATTATTGAGAAGTTATCCAAGGCGACAGGTGTACTGAGGTGGCACAAACGATCTCTCTGCTTAATAACTTAGTCCATTAGCTCAAACTATTGGGAAGGTATAATTTCAAGCTATCTTTAAGGGAACGAAACTCAGCCCTGAATGCGTGATTTTTAATTCCTGCTAAATTAATGCTAATAGATTATTTAACGATTTTAGAAAATCCAAAAATCGGAGAAAATGAGTCCATTTGGTGTTCGGAATTACTTTTTTCGCTCTTAATTTTATTTTAGACGATTCTACGGGTCCCTCTTTGGATGGCCTTTTTCTTGCTTTTGATTGAAAATGGGAGCATTAATACATACCTGTTTATCGCGTATATTAGACCCCACATTATTTAAATCGTAGGTCAATTCTGAAAGGTATTTAACGTGGGACGAAGGCAAAAATTGCTTACTTGCAGTTGCTTCATTGCGATATGTTGACTAGAGCATATTTTCAATGCTATTGAAATTAATTCAATAATTTGTACAATTTGCCATTTATGGAAAAAATGGATATTTGTGTCCAATTAGACTATAATGTGAAGTTTAACCTCCAGACGCTTTATTTCTTCTATCTTATGGAAGTATTCAAAGTAATGGCAAAAGGGGTGTGCGATAGACTTACCTCCACGTGGTGCACCTGGGCAACGTATGCTCATACGGCAAGAAGTCTATTAACTGGCAGTTGACTTCTCACTTCAAACTACCATCACCCCACTCTATGTCAATTCCACTTCTTCCACAGTAATCACCTCGCCTTTTCTCTGCCTTGATGTCTGCTTCTTTTACCTCTTTGAAACACTCTTCTCTTCCCTCAACCTCTCGATTTTTTTTTCACCTCGATTTTCCTTCTCTCTGTGAAGCCTGAAGTCCACTAAAGGACTAATGATAACTATCATAACGCCTGCCATTTGATATAAATAAATAAAAAGTAATGGTAAAATATAAAGCGCATTTTCCTAGTTTGATGGTTGTCATTTAAGTAAGACGATAAAATCGACAAGTTGGTCACCAAGCTATTTAAATGAGGTGGACATGAACATACCAAAAATAAATCAAGGATCAGATTATAGAAGTTGAGTATGACATACTGAATCAAAACAATTTTGGATAAGTGATTTGAATTCAAATATAGCATCCTCATTCCATTACATACAAACTCTAAACTCATTTTATTCCTCAATAGTTCACTAAACTTTATTGCGAATTAGGCTGCTACTTCATTAATTAAAATTATAACACAGTAAAAAATTATTAAGAGATAGAACGTCTAATTCGAGGAAAACTTAAAACACGTAGGGACTGGATGGTAGTCCAGGTTTAAAAGGGAGTAAGACTTAGACTCATGTCCTTCATATTAAACATCTGGATGGTATTATTTCATGACTTCAAATGCATCTTTTTCGCATCATTGTGAACCAACCGTTTACTGGGCAAAGGTGACTTCAAGTGGCTAGGCCATTGCGGAGTTTTGTGGCAATTAAAGCTCTCATCCCCTCTTCACATTCCTTTCTAAAGACTCCATATAAGGAACATAATTTCTCATTCTAAATATAAAAGCACCTTTCAACTATCATCTTAGACGGTGAGTGACAGCGTGGAGGTTTCTTGCTGAGGGCCTTGAGTTCCTCCACCCCCTGGATTAAACTAACTTTAATGGTTTGTGATTGGTCATTCCCCCCCCCCCCCCCACCAGATGAGGGTGATCTAGCTGGAAACGGACCCATGGCACTTGACGCTGCAGACGACATATATTTTAGCAACCTGGTTGTGGTTAAGATTTTAGTCGGCAGTATATCCACCTTTATTCTGGCAGCGAAAGCTATTGACGTTGACCTAAGAGTACGATAACATGCTCATTTCTGAGAATACCATAACCACCGGCTGATTAACTCTAAAGAAATTGCAACAAATCGTGAAAAATCCTTTTACTCTTTCCTTGCCTTGGGTGAGTATGGGTAAGAAATTTAAAATTATCAATTTCTTTAATCTGGACCCACTACCTCAAAGGCACGACGAAACCTTCCAAGGATCCCCCCTTCATTAATCCCCACTTGCCAGTTCTCATTGCTTGACAGTCCATCGAGTTGCCACACTTCGCTCCCCACAGCACTTTTCCACACTTCTCTATGCGCATAAGCAAACAGCTTTCTAAATAATTATCTTACTGAGTTGAGAATTGCAACTATAAAGAAAGTTTACAAGACTACACCCCATAATTACGAATATTAGTACTCAAGAATCCCGTTGGAAGTAATTGCGCATTCACACTAAGGAGTGTTCGTAGGACCAAAAGCAAGTACAGAGTAGGTAACCTGAGCTCACAATAATAAGATTACTCGTGTCCTGCTCCTTGCTAACCAAAATTAATCAACAACACAAACCAACTGCACCGACGAGTTCTGTTCTCGCAAACTCTTACTCAACAGACGACGTCATGACCATTGAGTCGCATCAATGACTAAAATCATCAAGCCGCCCAGAAGAAAAATAACAAGCAAGACCGATTCCTCAATATTATTACGAAAATAGGATATTTATTTATTTATCAAAAATGCCATCAATCATCATTAAATGCGCACCTCTAGTTTAATATTATTACAAATCTTGATTTTCGTGGTGATTCCTTTAGAATATATAAATGTATTATTGAAGGGGAGAGGGACCTATAACGACAGACAGAAAGGAACACGAGGAGCACTGAAGAGCCCAAATTCCATTCTAATCCGTGGAATAATTGGGGTGAACAACCAGCAGAGGATCTTCGTCTTCTTCATCAGCGTCCAGACCACTTCGAGTGAGTGCAATCAAAATTCTGTCCTGGAGGGAAATGCAAAAGAGTTGATGAGTTAATCAATGGTAAAATTGAAGTAAATCACAAGAGAAAGCGTAACAATCTTTTGAAACCAGATGAATGGATGAAACCTTCGCCCTTGACTCGTCGGCTTTGTATACCAACTCCAATTTTCACCCATTTACTCTATCAAGTAAGCTTCAAGGTCAAGATCTCGAAATCCAAAGAGCAAAGGAGCCTCAATCGAAACTAAAGCAGTACAGCATGCTTGATTTTGAGACACGTTTCCCCATTTTTTACCTCAGCAAATGTTGTGTTGAAATCTGCGTACCCTTGTTCAAATCAGATCTTTGATACGGCCTCTTGCTTCAGTGTAATATAGATCACCATTTTAGAGCACATCAAACTAAAACGTGCACCCTCGTCATTGTTAAAAGGTGTAACTTCACTATGGATGCTATAATCCTTACAAAAACATGGGTAATTAAACGTCATCGCATAGAATTTCATTAAGAGCAACGCAGATCTATTTTTGTGGGACTTTTAAGAACAAATGTCCATTTTGAAGATTTATAAAAAGTATCCGCAAACAGAAGCGATATCTGACTCAGAAAAGTGATAGTAAACATTAAACTGCATGAACACTATTTTTAGTCTTTTCTTTAAAAAAAGAACGTTAACACAAAAATCAGAAAGTATATAAGTAAATAGACGAGCATTAGTATATGCTTGAATTGATTCCTTTTGACGAATTTCACAAACCCTTGGTAAACTAGGATGGCTAGCCTCAATCAGAAAAGAAACAAGCAAAATTTAATCTCATGGTGGAAATCTTTACTTCAGTATTCATAAAAATGAAGACCATAAATCTGCTGCAATGCAAACAACTTTCAAATCAAACATGAACAAAATAATTAAAGGTTGGCACACAACAAGGGAATCATTTGGGCCCCTAGATCATCGATCTCCGCGATGGTGATCTAATTACTTAACATTTGGAGAATATCTCAGCTCAGCAAAAAAGGAAGCAACTTACCTTGGTAACAAGACGATCAATAATGCGCTCAACCAGGACCTTGCACTCAATAAGCTCGGCTTCCGATTGGAGTGTGTCGGCAGCAATCTCCTCCAAGTACCAATTAACCAGCTCGCTCTTTCGAATAGCTCCACTTTGTTCAACCCCAGTAGCCGCAAGAGAAGATTCTTGGCCAGCAGAGTCTTCAGACTCTTCTGTTACGGTAGCAGGACGTGGCTCTAATGACTTGGCTTCTTCCACACGCCGAGTCTGGAGAATGAGAAGGTCTGCAATGCGTCTATATTGTTCGTAAGTAACCCTCAGATGCGGTTGAGTTTGATCAGCCACTCCTCCAGTTGGCTAAAAAAAGTAGAGAAAGCAAAAATTATTAGACTATAAAAGAACCTGTAGTACACGTAAACTAATGCATACTTCTGCGTGGTAGCAAAAGAATGACGTTCTATCGGTTGCTCAGTAATGAAAACTTGAAGCGAAATCTGTCGACTTAAAATACTTCAATAGACTCCCTTTACCATAACTTGGTTCACACTCGATCTCCTCTTCGCATTAGTAATTCCTACTTCACTCATTCCTCTCATTTTCGCTATATATACGAAGTTCCCATTAGGACGTTTCATTAAAGGAGACCTCTCAAACTAACTGGATTGAGACCATAGCTATTTAATGCCCATCCATGGTCCTTAGTTAAGGATCTTATCTTGACAAAGAATTCAGGATAATAGAACGTTATTTAAATGAGAGCGGGGGGGGGAGAGTAGAATGTTTGATCTTCAGGCTTAGGTTTGAGACGATTTACCAAAAGGCTAATTCATAATTTCATGACCCAACATTCAAATTCCAATAACTAGTGCATTTTCACTACACATTTTGTTAGCAAAATCGCAGGGTGGCAAGGGTTTGCGAGATTTCGAAATAGCAGAGCTAAGTAATAATTTTTAAAGAGAATAACAATTCCGCAAGCATTCCATACTTGAATAGAGTCTATCGTGATATGTGCTTCTTTTTGTTATCAGAGGAATTAGAGTTGAATGAAAAAAACCGGCATGTAGTAAAATTGTTATACACTCTCCAACTGCCGAAAGTCAATCATAAATGTATTCGAGGAAACTAAAGCTGACATGGAAGTAATAGGCTTCAGCTGAGTAAATTTCACATTGAAGGTAAAGCGTCTCCTTGACCAAATATCACCAACCAAAATAAGCTCAATGCTTAAATTCAGCTAAAACTGATTTAAAATCTTATTCTCTAACATGTGAAAAGTCATTGTAACGCTTCGTCACAAGGAAAATGACACTAAATACTTGATTGATTGTTAACTATTGCCACTAGCATTGTAGTATTTGACACAACATACTAAGATTTGATCGGGTTCTTTTAAGGGTCTTCTGGGTGTTTCCACTGAATTGCACTCGCAAGTAAATGTATTCACCACATGTTCTCTTTTTCCTCATCACGTGAAAAAATCTGATATACTTAGGGTGGAGAATGGAACCATTGCCTCCTAATAATAAAAATGCATGAAAGTGGTCAAGTTTGACGACCAGTGGTCTTCGGATAATCAATAAATCTTCAAATTATAAAACAAGTGAGCATCCAACAAATGCGCTCACATTCAACAATGCAATACTCATTTCAACCGCCAAAGACATGAAGAGGGAAAATAAAATGCAACAAATGCTCCAAAAGCCCGTACCTGATCGACTTGCATTTGCTCTTGTCCTTCTGGCTCGGCTGGAACTTCCACTTTGTCCTCGGCCTCCTCTTCCAAATTAATATCCGGCTGTTCCACACGAATGATAGACTTGTTCAGTAAAGCGAACGCCTCTTTCACAAATGGAACAGTTACCTACGCACCAACAAATATGGAAAGTGAACAAATGACCCAGGCATTATTGCTGAGTTAATATCAAATGCTTAAATTTTCGAGGAAAAATTGGCTAACACTGTCATTTGCTATACATTGGAAGCACAAAATTTCCATAATATTTATTCTTTAGCAATGCTTTCCACTCATCTGATCTCTACTGGGATAATTATTCAAAATTAATAGAATTAGTCATTATTGTAACAAATGTCAGTCTGTCAAATATGGGGATACGAAACTGATACTCAAATATGGAGGTTGAAATGCTAAATTGCAATCAACTACGTGAATCAACTTGAATGAAGTACAATAAGAATTTCGAGTTAGAAATTCAACCCCGGCTTTTGGTATTAAAGACATTTCACAGCGACTTACAACATCTGCACAGTGGAGACGAGCAATGGCTTCAGAGAGACGAACAAGGGATTCCAACTGACGAACTGTGATACGCCAGGCGGACTTGGAACCAGAAGAGGCATCACGCTGTCGGAGTTTCTTATACTCTTCTACCATGCACTCCATAGCTTCAATGCTAATCTGAAAGGCGAAAATGATATAATTATTTTAAAAAAGCTTCTCGAGGCATAAAACTTATAATGATAGATTTTATTTTCAGCTTGATCACAATGTTTACCCATTCACACCAAACAGGCTTTAATCATCTAAATTCGTGTTTTATTGCATTTATAAATCCGATAGTTGATCGAATATAACTCCAGTGAAGTTGGCAAATTAAAGAGCCGTTAACTTCCATTGAAAAGTGGTAGTAGATCTATTTGTCACACCAGACATCCATTGAAGCGCATAAGACAACCGTAACAACTGACCAAGATTATAATAAACCAAGTATATCAATAAGTGCTTAAGGCAAAATTCCAACGCGATTTTTTGGGAAAAAAGTCAGTTGGGAAGCTAACTTTGAGTTTAGATATAACTATTACTCATCTTAGAGAGAGAAAGGATCAAAGGAACTTAAGCAACAAATCAAATATCCCAACTATAAGCCTGATTACACCCCTCAAAACCATTCAGGGAGGTTTTTTTCAACTCCCGTCAACATAATTTCCGATAAAAAATGGCAATATGTCACACTAAATAGTCAGTGGCCTGATAATAGGATATGCCCAATTACAAATCCTACCTTTGGTTTGAAGCATCGAGCGAAAGCGATATACCGGCGGATCTCGTCAACAGTGTAGATCTTTGTCGTGACTTGGGGTTCAATTCCCATATGGAGGTCCAATATGGACTTTGCGATTGCGTAGTCGACAATCTGAAATAGACATAAAAATGGTAATATAAATAAAAAGCAACGATAAAGGAACGAAAATGACACATTAGTCAAAGACACAAAGAAACTGCATTAATTTTAGAGAGCTGGAATTATCGCTAAAGGTAAAAACTACACAGGACAAAAATCGAATCATAAAAAATTCTAAAACAATATTTAATAGTAGCATTAGGGATTTATTACAAAAGCGAAAACAATGAATACAATAGTAAAAGGTCATTCAAACATATCATATGTGCATTTAGTAGCAGTCTAATTTAAGGCCATATCCAAAAGGAAAAAATAAAAGTAGCGCGCTTTGCATTTGATAACTACACAACGAGTAGTATCTCAAAACCAAACCCAAGCATCTTTTAATTTCCTAAATCATAGATAATAGATAATGGATAGCGAAAAAGTTAAAATATATTCATTTAATATAGGATAAGACACAGGGCAGATAGGGATTTCAATAAAAATTATGTTTAAACTCACATCATTGCACTCGTCAACAAGAACAAAGAACAGATCAAAACGCGACATGACGGGCGCAGACAATCCAATGTTCTGTCGAAGAGAGCGTGATCGATCGTAGCGTCCGCCAATGGGATTTGCGGCAGCAAGGATAGAGGTACGGGCATTTAACGTAGCCTTGACACCAGCCTTGGTGATTGAAATGGTCTGCTGTTCCATAGCCTCATGAATGGCCACTTGATCTCGCATGTCCATCTTGTCAAATTCGTCAATGCAGCATACGCCCTAGAGGAAGGATAAAGGATAATAGAGCAAGGACAACACATTAAAATCTATAGATGCAGAAAACCGGCCAAAACTCTTACTAACATAACATTGTCGTTGTGCAAACTTCCTAAAGTAGAAGGCATTATGGACACTACTAGTAGATATTTGGAAACACGAAAAATGGTTATTCAAATAGACAGATTTAAAAATATAGCATTAAATAATTCAATACAAATCAAACGTATTTGAGGATCTGCTCCCAATCTAGCGCGCAAAAATGCAAAGAAAAATTGAATTTACTTGTGTGTTTACAGATGTTTTCGTGCAGAAAACTGCACTGTAAAAGCACATTTATCCTTTTCTTGAGGGCCCAATTGAACCAGGCTTTAACAAGAGGCTTTATGCAATTCGTAAAGTCTCATGAATTTGGACACCGTATTTATTAACTTTTTTGCTGCACGCCTTGATTCGGCTGAAACGAGTAGATAGCAAAATAATGAAGCCCTGTGAGTTTGTTTTGTTTGCACAAACAGGCAAATATGCTGCTTCAAGAAATGCTGCACGACGCAAACGAAGTGACTGATGGTGAGATAAACCTCACTGACAAAATCTTAAGGAAGAGCGAGTATTACTTATGTAATAGTCGAAATTGTCAAAGAGAAGATGAAATTGCCAAAGACAAACGATTAACAAGTTAATAAGGGATTTAAAAAAAAAACAACGTACATTATCAGCAAGCATAAGGGCACCAGCTTCAATGACAAATTCGAAGGACTCCTCATCTCGCACAACCGCAGCAGTGAGACCAGCAGCTGAGCTGGCTTTGCCACTAGTGTAGACAGCACGAGGGGAGAACTGCTCCACTTGCTTGAGGAATTGAGATTTGGCAGTGGAGGGATCGCCTACCAAACAGACGTTGATATCACCTCGGAGATGGGTACCTTCCTGTGTCACCTAAAAAAGAGATTAAAAACAATGGGGAATCAATTCAAGGTTTGTAATTACCATCAATATCTATAATTACCATTATCACCTCTGGTTATTATCCAGATCATAATACATATTCTCCTGGAAAGTGTTCATTAAAGAATATTTTCGGTTAATTAATTGAGCCATTCGTCATGAATTGTTCATAATATTTAACGGCGACTACATGTTTTGCACTGTCCTGACAATTGGTATATAGGTGGAATCCTACTCTGAATAGCCCGTAAAGTTTACATTTCTATAATTCACATACCCACCTCATTTTGCAAACTATTGCGGATTTCACTCTTATAGACAATAGATAAAACAACCCGAAACTTTTCTGATGATAAATTAGCATTCCAATATCTCCTCATTCACCATTCCTAAATTGACTTAAAATGAAAGTTTAACAGATCGAGAAGTGTGCATTCAGCTATTGATATTTATAGGTAAATATGTAATGATGTACATAGTCAGCCGTGCTGATCAAGAGGGAATAGTAAGTACCGATAAAATCTGATCAAAGTTAACCCAGTCATAATTGAGCCTAGTAAATTTTACTTCCAAAACACAAATCGCTGCATAACGTACTTTGGAAACACCTCCAAAGAGCATGAGAAGAATACCCTTCTTGACTTCTTCACTGCCATGAATAGTAGGGAAGAGAGAAGCGCAGAGATTTGCGAAGAGATTCTTGTCTTGACTCATTTGAACAATTGTGTCAAGCTCAGCTTCAGTTAAACGCTTCGACAAGGCCTCGTAGGATACACCATCAGCGCATTCTAAATCATCTGATGGGAGATACTGGAACAAATGGAGTTAATTGAATCAGATATCAAAAAGTATCCTCTGCGAAGAGATCAACTTACTCGACCATTAGCAGGAGTTACAGAGCAGGCGAAAAAGGCAGTCTTGTATGTAAGCTCTCGAACACCTAGATCCTTTAGACCTGAGATACCAGATTCTTGACCGTCAATTGTTCGGGCACCCTTGCGCTCAAGTGTACGAGTACCTGAGAAAGCAATGATAAGAGAATATCAAACTAGTTTATAATTAGATAAATAAAAATATTTGCCCTGAAAATTCGGGGAGCAAGACGATTTGAATCGTTTCTAAAAAAAGGCTATAAATAAGTAGTCGGTGCAGCTTTTGCGATTACGCTTTATATCACGTCAATGATAATTTACAATAAATAGTGATAATCGGAAACTGCATTGGCGTTGAGTTTCCTATTTATATATAAGAAATCGTAAATTTGAATTCCAACTTCTGCTGGTAAAAATGTTTGCGAAAACGAAGAGGCCACCGTATGCAAGTCGTATTACTAAGTAAGAGATTATGGATACTATCCTCAAAGGCACATATCAAACTACGCCGATCAATAAAGGAAAATCGGAATTCGACCATTACAATAGCGAACCGTTGGGATTGTACTCCCTTACTCAAGATTGGTAGAATTTAAGTCCGGGAAGGAAGCATGCCAATCATCAGAAGGGCGTCCGTTATAATTATACATGTTAATTAGGCCTGAGACAAATGTCTACAACTGTAAGGTGAGCAATTTCGGTTATCCCATTTCAAGATAGCCAATGTTGCAAACAAAAAATCATCAACTATAATCATGCTGGTAAGATTAGACAGCTAAAATGGCATAAAGAATATATCAAAAGAGAAGTTCTAGGAAGCTAATCACTTCATTTCAAATGAGGAAAACAACAACTCCCCAAATTTATCGAAACTATACAGAAACAGCGCTGAGAAGTGCGATTTTATTTACTTATTAAGAGAGCTTGTATAATGGTTACAAATTACAATTGTTACGAAAGATTAACTTTTCATAAGATGTAGGTGAGAAGAGGCAAAACAAGATAACGAAAGCTGTTTCCGATCTATCTACTTATAAAAACGAGTGTGAGAAAACGGGATAGATCATTCCCATCTTATTGAGGCTGAATGCAGATGCAATTAAGACAAATCAAAGGAAAACTAACCTGGTGTAGCAAGCTGGCCTACATCAGGTACCACGATAAGAGTCCCGATAAATTCGCATCTATCACCAGGTTGTGCCAGTTCAACCGCATCCGAACGAAGAAGAACTTCCAAGCTGAGAAAACACAACAGGAATAAAAAAGTTAGCAAAACATCACGACATACCTTCTAGGGATACTACCACGAAGCACTTCAGCCTGGGTCTCCTGCACTCGAACCTTTTGAAAATCAACAAACTTCGACTCGTTTGTAATCAGCTCGAATTTGACGCGATTTGAGCATTGAGGATTGAAGCAAACACTAGGCTGGGTATACTTGAATTGTTGCTCGACATTTCGAATAATCGTGCCACATTCTTCGCATTTGAAGGTTCCAAGTGTAAGTTCTGGATGAACTGGATGAGAACGCACAACTTGGGCCCGAATCTTCACCAATCGCCCAAGTTGGTGGGCATTTAATTCACGCATTCGATGAAGTACCGAAACGTCAGTGAAGCCAATATAGAAATCACGTCCAGAATTCTGTGTATCTGGAACATGATCATTGATAAAGTTTTTCACTGCGTTGCAGAGATAAGGATAAAGTCTGAATGAGAGAAATTCGAAAATGTCTAATAACACGTACCTGAAGTACTCATCCTCTATCAACGATGCAAGACGACTATCATGCATTAAAAGGTCATTGAATGATACAGAGAGGGTACTTCTCTCAAGTTTCTTCATCTCTTTAGCCTTTTCGGCATACTTGAAAAACTCATCGCCTTCCTCCTTGAAACTAAATTAAAATAGGACTCGAACATTTATCTATTAATACTTTTCCAAGAAACTGAGAAATTTCCTTTGACATTCATCTCCTACGATATCAGGAACATGAATTGTACGGATTTGAGCTTGGGCAACGTCCATTATTTAGCGAATTGCGGCCAGAAGCTAATGGAAAAGAAAAATAGTTAAATAAATGGGACTTATTTTTTCAACAATTATAAATACTTCAACAAAAATGGATAAAATGGCATTGCTATTTAATAATTTTCGAAGGTTTCAATAAAACATTAGAAAAATATACCTATTTGACGTACCGAATCAAATATCCGTAAATACCGGCGTGAATAATACAATGCATCATCGATGGGCATAAACGAGGTTTATTCCATATGCATCTTTTGACTATTTAATTGTAGAACTTATTTTTATCTTGATATATTATTACACATCTACATTTGCATAACTTAATTATTTAAATTCTTCATTATATTGACATTTTTATTAGAAGGACGCTAAAATAATAAACATAACTGAACAGGTCTTTATCAACATTATTCCATGATAATCATATTTTATTTTGATGTGTTATTAGTGTTCGACCAAGAGTACGGAGAGCAAAACTTTATGCGAACTAATAAGTGCGAATTGTTAATAAATGCTAATACATCCATAATATTCAAACACTATTATATAACATTTCAATTTAGCAACAATACCCTTTACATATAATATGCTATTACACAAATTATTTTCCGGGGAATCTTTCTCATGTCTTGCTGTTTTAAATTTAAAAAAATATTTTAAATTGTCCGTTAGATGATTGGCAAAAGTATGTCTATTTGAGTGATAGAATAATATATGTCTAAATGTTAGATTCATGTGTGTAACTAGAGCAAGGGAGCAAAATGCACATTTTTGTCTTAAGGCTATCTTAATAAGTGTTTTTATCTTCAAAATTAAATTGCTTATAAATCTGATAAATAAATTACCTGTCCAATTTTCTTTTTTACGTATTTGAAAGGCTACCACTCGAGCTTATTTATGTTGACTGTTTTACGCCCAAAATAAGCCATGTCACTAAAATAATTGAATACCTAGAAAATAGTCATTAAGCATATGAATTAGATGAAACTATTTACTAGCTAAACTTACGGCACGTAGATTCATATTGGCAATTCCAATTCGTAGCCTATCATTTAATTTACAGGCTAAGATATGATGCATCATATGTGAACAAATTAAAGAAATGGTAATTCAGACAACTAACTATAGAAGAATTGAAAGCACCACTAGTCCATTATAACCAAGGGCATTTGATAAGCAATATTGTACTGTACATTATATCAATAATTTCAGGTTTATTATTTTATGGCATTGCTAGTGACATCTAACTTGCATGAAGAAATATACTGAACAAGATTAATTCCTTTTCACAAAGATTTGCTTCGTTTTTGCTTCAATTTTTACATAGTAGATTGATATTTCGTTTTCAAGTGGGATATTGTGTGTATGGTATAAATAACAAATTGTTAATTCGGTGTCTCCAATAAAGCTGAATTTCTTCTACTAAACCAGCATTCGTGCAATTTGACTAATTCCGAAAATTCAGTGTGATTTCTAAGTCAATCAATAGCGATGGAGATTTCTAAATTAAATCAAGTTATTTGTGCAAGAGTGATATAAGCAATGTTGAAAATGGAGAATCAAAAAGTGCATAAGAGATGATTTTATGTTATGAAGATCAGTGGAAACTAAATACTCAAATACTCAAACTAATATGGATGGCATAAGTAATTTATTTGAAACATTATTTGATTAAATATCAATAAGATATCGAAAAAAAATTCGGTCAAACCTGCAAAGTTAAATTAATTAATTTTTTAATAGATTTTAAATTAATACTTAGAAGGATGTCAATATGCTGATAATACAGGTGAGTTACATGCATCACCATTATTTACACATGTAATAGGATATAAGTTCAAGTTATATTAAATTAATGTTTGCAAGGTCTGAATAACTAGATATCTATTCATCAAAAAGACTTTTTACTCAACAATGACTACTATAAATATATATATTCTCCTATAATGAAATTTCTGACCACTTGAAATTTTGTTTTCTAGAAATATGAATAATAGCTTCTTAAATCTGGGGAAATGGAAATGCTTAAGTCCTTATGACTAAATTATGCCCAGATGAAATTTCACGTGCCATCTGTTGGTTCGCTTATAATTGGGAAGTGCCTGACCCTTACTTGGCCAATGGCGTTCAGAGATCTTTAGAACTTCTCTCTTTAAATTTGTAATCAATATATGTAATTTTATCCTCAATTGTGAAAATATCCAATCCCAAAGCAGAGAGAGAGAACATATAAGGCAGACATATTTATTTATATCAAACGGCAGGCATTTTGATAGTTATCATTAGCCCTTTAGTTGACTTCGGGCTTCACAGAAGGGAGGAACATTAAAGTAAGAAAAATTCGACAGGGGAAAAGAAGAGCGATTCACAGATGTAACAGACAGACAGACACAAAGGCAGAGAAAAGGCTAGATGAGTACTGTGGAAGGGGTCCAGTATAACATACAGTGGGGTCATGGAAGTTTGAAGTCAACTGCCAGTTAATAGACTTTTTTGCC